ACTGGAATTTATGATATTTGAAAATTTTTCATAGAGAAACTTTTTGTAAGTCTTTCGACTGAAGTGAAAATGAAGTTGAAGCTTCTTATAGAATCTCAGTTAAATAACCACGGATTAGTTTCAAATCTCGAAGTCAAAAAAATAAATAATGTCAAGACCAACAGAAAATTTACTTTGTTTTTTCTACTTGACCAATGTTCATAATGCTCCATTTCTTCAATTAATTCCTTTGTGAAGGCTTCAGACATTAAAGGATAGTTATAAACATCCGGACATGGTTGAGGGATGTCTATACTATTTAATGCTTCATAATATTTTGGATTTATGTAACGTTGTTCCCATAACTAAAATAAAATGATAATAAATCGAAGCAAGAATTCAAAATCGTTGCAAACTAAACACAACCATTTAAAAGCCACCACGGCCTTTTTTTGGAAAAAATTACAGCTATTTTTTAAAATAAGATTTATAGATTTAAAGAACTAACATGCCGATTTTTGAATATTTCATACATCTCTGGGTGTAACCTTGCACCATTGTTAACGAAATCGTCAGCATCAACAAGGAACCCATAATAATGTTCATTATCAACATGCATAAAATATCCCTGAATAGTTAATTCTCAATGTCCGGAATAGTAACTTATAGCAGTAAACTTTTATTAAAAAATCTAAACAAAGAATCTCTTTAAAAATATTAAGGAATCTGTCTTGTTTAAAAAGCATGCATTAACTTTAATCAATTATATTGATTACCATCGCCCGTGCATATTCGCAAAAACTCATATCGACATCAACCATAACATTGTAGGTGTAGCTCTCTTTAAGCACCTTAATCTGGAATATGCGAGACTTTTTGTATTTTATTAGAAGACCATGTTGTCCAGAACATAACTAAAATCTCTAATGCATGTCTAATAAACGATATCATAGCAACACTATATCGTATATGAATATAAATAAAATAGGCAAATACATATAAGGACATACTGCATTTTTTAAGAGTTGTAATTTATAGACTTTCAAAAGTTAACCTTGTCCCTGTTAATAAGTATAGCCCTGCTGATATAAGGGACATTCCATATTCCCACTCGATTTCCATCTACTATCTCAATATAATCTTCCGAACGTAAGTAATATCCATTATTGTCTAGCGCACCCCAAAAGTTTGAAAATGGCTTGTCATGGAGAGTTACCATTGGGGCAATGATACCACTAAAAAGCAAATTTAAAAGATATTAGAAATTCTGCAAATAAATTCAACCGCATTTGGTCAAGTTGATAATTAATGCAAGCCATAAAATAAAACTGCTCAGAATCTAATGTTCGTCTCAAAATATAAAGGAATCTGGAATAATCAAAAATCTCTCCACAACTATAGGTGACTGATTGGAAGAATCTGTCATCAGCCATCCCTTTACAGATTACTAAAAAATCATACAATTTTCCAGCAATGGCAGTTTCAATCAAGAGTTGCAATGTTTCAGGTGTTGTCAAATGAACATCGCCATCAAGCATGAATATAAAATCATTAAATGTTTCCTCGGCAAAAGTCCTGAAATCTGCAACAATACCATTCTGGAATTATTCAAAAAAGGTTAAAACTTCTGAAAACAAATTTTCTATAAATGATAGCATAAATTTACAGTAAAATTCTACATAAAACTTGAATTAAGCAAATATACAAGTAAAGAAAAATTGAAAATACCAACAAAGCAGCCTTCCTGGCCTCTCTTTCACCCAATTCAGTATCACTGTTATCATATTGCACTTTCCGATACAATTTTTTAACAGTTTTCAAAAACTCATCGACCTAAAAAGGCAGATGAAAAACTTGCAGCATCTTAAATATTACAACAGAATATGCTTTCAATTTTAAACACTTAATATACTGAAATTCTTATTAAATCATCACTTATTCAAATAAGTCATCAGGATTATTTCATATGAGAAAGCTGAAAATGTTTAAGAAAAACTATGCTTAGCAATACGTTTTTATCTTCTTTTTGCAAAAATTCAAAATCCACCATTACAAAAAACTCACCTCTTTCTTATTGTACTTCTGATTATTGTAAATATAAAAGTCAATTTTGGAAGTCGGATAAGATATACGGCTTACTGTTGCCAAAAATTCTCGTATAAAAGGAATAGGTTTAGTAATGAAAATTGCCAATGTAACTGATGGCCATGTGTTTTCGGATGTCTGCTGTAAAAAAAGCTGATTACTAAATTGTAGCTCTAAGTCTTTTCACAGCACTGTTGATACAATCTTTTTTATTTAATTCGAATTTTACTATTAAATTTTATTTACACGTCTATTCAATTTCAGACCTCAGAATCTGATATTATAACCAAGCAAATAACTTACTAGCAAGCTGCTCGTGCCGCATTGTAGATAGCCATATTCGGCAGACCAGGCCTTACCAATATAGTTACCTAAATGATTCAATAGCTTCCTTCCTTTCTCTGTTCCGAGGATTACTGATGGACGGGTATTTCGTACGAAGTTGTGCACCTGGGAAACTCTACTAAATGAAGCAATTATCGCAGGATGATGTTTGTAATGTAGACTAAGGGATAATTTTTTTCAACGTGGGCTGACAATGCGTTTGCGCAACGAGCAATCTTATTAAAAGTGCGGTAAGCTGTACAGGCATAGTTCTAAACGGTTATAAATTTACATAGGCATCGCCATTGTCGTGGAATGAGAGGATAATCTCAGAACTGGCGCTGTCGATATTTTGAAATAATTTTCCTTTCGTATCAAATGTCAATCCCAGACTATTCTGTAAAAGAAACTTTAAAAATTATAAATATTGCAGTATAAACAAATGAACAAATAAAATTAAATTTTTTGAAGTGGCACAATCTGTTCTCGCAATATTTGAAATGATAAAATTTTAAATTTCCTTAGAAATTTTAAAATTGTTAAGGAAAATACGGTTAGTTTACCACTGAATCATCAGAGTATAAGTTGGTGTATGATAAAGCTTTGCCATCCTGTGATTGAATAAAATCAAACACATTCAAAATATTTGGTACAAAACCAATTAAAGCGATTGATCGAACTTCGCTAAAAAGTAATTTGAATGAATTCATCCTTTAAAATATCCTTGAGATAATGTAGTTAAGGAATGACAATATAATATATTGAGTTTATTTAATAATATGCACTTACCGTTCTGCTGACACTATCTTCGGTGTAAGGAGTACACGACAACTGCTGCATGCGTCGAGAAACTGACAAATAATATCGCTTTCATTTGACGTAATAACAGCATCAAATCTAAAAAGATGCTGTTACTACGAATAGTTCAAAAAATTCGATGCATTTTAAAAATAATGTGTCACAGTTTCGTGAAGAAAAGAAATGAACTTTGCTCAATGTAATAAAACAAATTCGAAGTGTTAACCCATGAATAATGAGCAAGATAGTAGAGTTTGATATCTTCAATGTTCCAAGTTCTTTTGTCAGCATTTGTAATAATTTGCCAGTGTTCTAAATTGGTAAAAAATGAACAAGAAAGAGATAACAATATTAAGTTGAAAGGAAAATTTGAAAATAATACTAGAACTTTCATATACATTAATAACTACCATATCGATTTGATAAGATAATTTACATTCATAAATTTGATTAAAATAAAAAGGAGACAAACTTTGCCATTTTCATGTTGATTGAGAGAACTCTGTTCTAAGTTGAGAATGTTGAAATCAATATCGTAATGTTCAGCTGAACATTTCAACCTTTCTAAAGCGTCATTATTGCCATTGATCAAAGTGAACGTAGCTAATTTATAAACAAATGAGTTACATTTGTCTGCTGATGATGATGACACCATGTGTAGAAGCAAGATGATCAACGAATACATTGTTGCTAATGAAATGAATCTGAAATTTATTCTGGTTAATCATTGAAAAAGATTTTGAAGCTAAAAAATTCGTTAAATCCAACAAAAAATACTTTTTATAACCTTTGCAAATATGTTAGTGAATAATAATGAAAATGAGCAGAACTGTTAATTATTATTAATTTTATTATAAACCTTCAGAAAAATAAAAATTTACCAGTTACGTTGTGATAAACTAGTTAAGTTATTGCAACTAAATGGCTCCTTTCACGATTCCTTCCATTAACTTCAATTATTGTCCATCCAGAAGATTAAACTGTATCTTCAGGTACCATTACGAACGCATCACCTTAGTAATTTTGAGTATTGTATTACTGATAAAATAGCTTATATGGTAGTATTTTTCTAATTATTCACTTCATTTGAACCCTTCTAGAGTCTTCTTTCAATTCTTCCTAATACCACAAAAAAAAGGATTGTCTTGCAAGAATATTGTTTGCAAAACCCGAAAAATTTTAAGGAAAAAACATTGTTAAGTTAAGGAAACTCCAATTACTATCAATATTATAATAGATCTTTAAATTTATTGACGACAATCCTTTGACCATATAAATAAAACGCAGCAAAGTAGAAAATAGAACGATTAGAGTGATTTTCGGAATGTTATCTACAAATGAAATTTTCATCTTAATTCAGAACTAAAAGCTAATAGGCCAACTTTTGAAGTAGAATCAACAGTAAGATGCCAAATGGTTCCAATTCACAAAATATACATTTCAAATACATAAATTAATGGAATAAATACAAGTTGTAGCAATATTTCATAACAAAATAAAAATTATTTAAGCTAGAATAAAGGGCAGCTTTAAGAATCCATAACCGTAATTTTTTTCAAATAGTCAAATATTTGAAACAATTAAGGCAAAAATTGAAGCAATACAGAGTCATTAGGCAGTATCAAAACTTCGCAAAATTTGAAAAAAACTGAGCAACTCATTAACAATTTCAACTCATCAAAAATTCAAATTCGAGGCAATCAGCTATTTTAAACAAAAACCGACTTTATTTGAGTGCATGAAAAAAGGTTGATGAAAATCTATAGAAGCATTAAAGCTAAGAAAACAACTTATGGATTAATGAAGGATACAGCAATGTAACGAGTTCCTTGAGTAGTTTTCAAACCTTCATGCAGATGCGTCAGACGACCCGGAAATATCATTGAATGACCTGAAGAATTAAAACTGAAATAACTTACTGATCTAATAATTAACATTTTGTTTGAAATAATCCAACTCCAGCATATCAAGATCAATTTTTATAGTAAACAAGTACAACACAAACAGACAGAAAAACAGATGATTCAAAATATATGATCTCATAAACTTAAATGATTTATATATCATGACAAACTCATTTGAAACGGCAGTTGATGAAGTTGCCAATAACTACAATTATTCCTCTTCATATTAAAATTAATAAGAAACTTTTGCTGCAATATCTTAACAGTTCTAAAAGCGTTCAATTATTTTGTCAGTAGTTTTTTATTACATGCTTTTCCAATATTTTAATCATCATCGAAAAAAGATCAACAAATGCCATATCGTAATGAAATTTTAAGTGGAACTCAGAAACCAATTTCAAACCACAACTTCCCTCGATATCAGACGAAAGTCGATTTAATTGATGCAGTGATAAATAATATTGAAATTCAAACCCACCGACAACATCAGCATCAGAAGTGCAATTATATCGTAGGAAATGCACACCGCCTCCCTCGTAATCTACTCCTCGTTTATTCAATGCAATATCAATGCTATAAGTTGATGCATCATGATGAGGTCTTAGCGAAGCTTGCTCCTCTGGCTTGTAACGTACAACAAACATCATCACAGACTCCACTGGCTAAAAGTGTAATGTTAAGTTCTAAATGGTAACAGGCATAAGTTTTTTTTTTTAAATATTGGTATTATATAACCATATATTTTCAATGGAATTTCAATCAAAAAATTGACAAAATACACTTTTTTGGCAAAACGTATCTTTAATTCGATTTGTTAGCTTTCCATTCTCCTTTGCTTTGGTTATCGTTAATCGATAGTTTAGTCCCGCTAATAATGATTTTACCTGTTTGTAGTAACCAATAAACAATTTTTCTTGTATTGGGCGAACATATTCATCTAACATGTACAACCACTGACGCTCAAAACCAATCTGTTTCATATGAATATCACGAGTGGGTACATTTTCATAACCACCAACTAATCTTTCATCCTGAAATTTAACCTTATAATGAGCACTTACGGTTCGAAATGTTTTATTTCACTCTAAATTATTTTTTGTTACAACGAAGCACAGAATGATTAAACTTTTTAGTAATTCAAATAGACAATATATTTCATTTTATGTCATTTTTTCTTTAAAAAAAATAAATACGTGAAGAAACCGGTCAACAGTTGAAATACCTTATGTTTACCATCTGACCATTTTCCATAATACTCACATTCTTCAATAAGTTCTGCACAAAATCTTTCAGACATAAGCGGAAAATCGTATACATCTTGACATATTTCCGGAATTGGTGCAGAACCATTAAGAACAGCAAAATAATTCCGATGTATATACCGTCTTTCCCATAACTAAAAGAGTTTTGATATTGATAATTCATTTAAAAAAGGCCTTCAGTAATAAAATACTGAAAACTATAGCAAGAACATACTCTGCCAATGTTCCAACATCAAAAAAACATGCAAAAATTTGAAGCTGAATCTTTGTAACATTAAAATCATTATCAGAAAAATTGGCAAAATTTAGAACAAGCAAAATTCTAAAAAGTAAACCTCTTTATTATTGAAGATTTCGTACATTTCCGGATGGAGTTTGGACGATTCAACACCTTCACTAACCACCAGAAAGCCGTAGTAGTGGCTGTTATCAAGATAAAGAAAATGACCCTGTAAGTTGAAAAAACGTTGGAAGTAAAAAGTCATTAAAGAGTTAGAAAAAACATTCGACATTCATTTTTTTCAACGGTCTGAATTTCTTTTTGAAGGACGACATATTTTTACTGGGAATTCCACTGCACTGAAAGAAAATTTATTTTAATACTTACTTCATCACGTGCAAATGAGCAAAAGCTCATATCAGGATCTAATTTCTCGTCATAATAGTATGCATTTGATAAAGGCGCCAGCTGAAAGAAGTAGTAATAAAAATAGTAACCAAATTGCAATTAGATGAATTCAATATAATTGTTATATGTAATGAATTGACAAACATTGTAGTCCCAAGTGAATAAAAAGAAAAAATAAGTCTCTGATGAGTTAACTAAAATTTTTAAAAATTTAAAACATCTGATATGTTCTCCAGCATAATTTCGCACAAAAACAAAGTATGAGAGACAAAGCTATACACCTTTCCTTTCGCAATTACTAAAATCGAACCAATAAAGGGTACATTCCAAATTCCCACTTCTTTACGATCAATGATATTCAGATAATTATCAGATCTAGCATAGTATCCATTACTCGAGATTGCGCCCCAGAAATTGGTGAACAACTTCTGTGGTTCCCTAATTAAAGGTGCAAGAATCTCTCTGAAACATTAAAAAATAATGATACATTCACTTTCTTACTGGATACTGCAACAATTAAACTAATTTTTTTAAGAATTTCTAAGGATGCTATAAAAAAGAAGAAAGCACATTCTCTAAATATATCATAATTTTACAACTAACCCTCTTTCACAGTAAAAATTCAGAATTGAAATCTAAAAAATCAATTTTTTTATTTTTGGAATCAAGCATTAGTTCTAACAAACTTTTCCATGAACTTACAAATTCTTTTCTTTCATTGTGTGAACCATGAGCAGCAAAGCTTCCGATTTATTTAAATGTACATCGCCATCAATCATTATTAGATAATCGCTACCCAATTCCAAACTTTGTTTCCTGAAAAATAATTCTCAAATTTCTAGGAAATTAACTTTAGGAGAAATTATAAAAAATTTTTGGATTTAGGCGAATTGTACAAAAGAAATTTTTTAAATCATCACCTTTAAACAAAATTTAAAACAAAAATACGAACAATGAAAACGCACGAGCTTCACGCTCTCCCATTTCTGTTGTACTGTCATCATAAAACAACCACCGGTAACGTCCCTTTCCATTTTCAACAAAATGGCTGACCTAGAAACGTCTCTAAAAACCGTAAAAGCTAAACAAATGGGAGATATAATTTTGGCTTATTCCGAAACAGTTTGTTCTTCAAATTAAGTTCATACAGACCTCGTGTCTAAAGTCATTCTAATTTAACACCAAGAGAAATCCAGTTTTAAAATTAGAAAATGTAAGAACTTTCTTTTTTCGACTTTCACGTCAGTTGATGAAACATATTTATCATAAAATAGAAATGCTTACTTCTTTCTCCATGAATAACTGATTGCAATAAACATACAAATCAATTTTATCATTCGCATAAGTCAACTTCTCAATATTTTCGAAAAACTCACGAATAAATGGTACCGGTTTGGAAATAATGATCGATAAAAATATTTTCGGCAAACCAATCTTTTCAAGATCCTAAATTGAAATTCATCAAAATTCGTGTCGCAAAAGTCGAAATAATTTATAATAAATATGTTTATATAAAAAATATATTGTAGAAAAATTTATCTTCAAGTAATACATCGCATAAATTGTACAAATCTCATGTAATGAATCATTTAGTCAATTCTCATTCGATTACCATGCTTATCTTCAAATGGTTAAATTACCGGAACCAATTCATGCAAATGTCTCAGATCTGATAACTAATCTTACATCTTATATTCAATTATGCTGTAATCAACTCTTCCTTTACAGAGCTCTCTTTTTTATGTTCACA